CTCTCTCTCTCTCTCTCTCTCTCTCTCTCTCTCTCTCTCTCTCTCTCTCTCTCTCTCTCTCTCTTTTTCTTATTGTCCCTAAAGGAGACAGTCTTGAGGTGTGGTCGTCGAAGTGATCGGCCCCTGGTAAATCGGAGTTATTTTATTCATCCGATTATCAGCGCTGGAACTCGGGTCTGTTCATTGACAGTTCATTGGTGTACCGTGCAGCCAGATGGGCTGTGTATCTGCCCCCCCACCCCTTTTTTTTTCTGTCTTGATGTTCTCTGTTTTTTTTCCTCCCCATTATTTATGCTTTTCCTGTTTTTCTATTTGCGTTTTTCTTTTCCTTCTCGGTACTTGCAGGCCCATGTTGGTAAGTCCGTCATTGAATCCCTGATCGATCAGCAGCCAGATGGAATCGAATCCGTGACCTCCGCCATAACAGCGGTGTGCCTTTAAACCGCTGCAACTGCAACTGTGACCTGTGACCCGGTCTTCAGAACTGAAGCCATTCCAGGGTCGTGACATTCAGCGGTAGTGACATTCAGCCCACCGCAGCACAGGTGCAGCAAGGACTGAACTTGTTGACGCGTGACATCCATGAGATCCTCTGATGGATCTCTGAACTTGTCCTAGCATGGGCTGTGTGGAAGAAAGGGGGCAGGCACTCTGATGAACGGTCTTTTAGTCTTTAGGGACAAAATCAAAAACCGCCCCAAAAAAAAAAAAAAAAAAAAAAAAAAAAAAAAAACGCGACAAGGAGGCCAAGTGCAGAAAAGCACTCAAGGCACATCTACACGACTAGACGGGGAGGACAGATAGTAGAAGAGAAGAGAGGGAAAGATAGGATACACAGCCACGTGGTGTCGTGCCTGACGGCGTGGAGAGTTGCGTGCACACGTGGCCCAAATAGGAAATAATAAGAGGGTCATGCATCGTTGAACGAAGTGCACACTCTCTCCCTCCCTTCCTCCTACCTCTCTCCCTCTCCCTCTGTCTGTCAGCGGTGCTGTGCGTGAAGAGGTGTAGAGTTCCGTTCACACTAGGGCCAAAATCGAAATTGGTCGGTTCGGCCGATGTGGCAAAGTGCCCCCTCTCTCTTCCCCCCCCCCCCCCCCCCCCCCC